TAGAGAATAGGCATGCTTGGCTTACTTGAATCTGCGTTGTAGATGGGATTGCCTACCTGTCTAGTTAGCTTGAATGAAAGCGTAAGGCAAGCCCAAGGGCTAGTAGTAAGGCATTGGGGATCATAGAGCACTAAGGAGAGAGGCCAGTCTTCCTACTCAGCATATGACTTAGCTGGGAAGAGACTTTCTTCTTCTCCTCCTATCGATCTGGGAGCAGCCTTGTCTTTTCCTTTGTACTATTTGTAGTTGGATTTTCAAAGGCCTCCGATGTATCAACAAACAAACAACCCAACTCCTTATGATAAGAATGATTTGATTCCCACAAGAACGGTGACCGGGTGGAGAGTGTGTATGGACTATCGCAATCTCAACAAAGTCACAAGGAAGGATCATTCCCACTTCCCCAACTAGATCAAATGCTTGATAGATTGGCCGGCCATGCTTTCTATTGTTTTCTTGATGGGTATACCGGCTACAATAAAATTCTTATCCCTTCTGAGGATCAAGAGAAAACTACTTTCACATGTCTTTATGGTTCTTCCGCATTCTCGCGGATGCCATTTGGATTGTGCAATGCACCGATGACTTTTCAAAGGTGTATGATGGCTATCTTCACGGACATGGAGGAGGATTACCTTGAAGTCTTCACGGATGACTTCTCGGTGGTCGGGAATTCGTTTGATGATTGTCTACAAAACTTGGATAAAGTGTTGGCAAGATGTGAAGAAACAAACTTGGTGCTTAATTGGGAGAAATGTCATTTCATGCTAGGAAGGCATTATCCTCGGCCACAAGATCTCAAAGAATGGCATTGAAGTTGATAAGGCAAATATTGAGGTGATTTCTAAACTTCCACCTCCAACTTCAGTGAAAAGCGTGCGGAGTTTCTTAGGCCAGGGATTTTACCGGCGTTTCATCAAGGATTTCTCTAAAGTAGTAAACCCGTTGTGCACGATTTTGGATAAAGATGCCAAGTTTCATTTCAATGATGAATGCATGAGAGCCTTTGAATTGCTAAAGCTCAAGTTGACTACTTCTACCATCATCACCGCTCCAAATTGGAGTATTCCTTTTGAGCTCATGTGTGATGCAAGTGATGTAGTGGTAGGGCTATTTTGGGGCAACGATCAACAAGATTTTTCATCCAGTTTATTATGCAAGTAAGACCATGAACCGTGCCAAAGTCAACTATACCGTTACAGAGAAAGAGCTCATTGCCATTGTATTTGCTATTGAGAAGTTCCACCCGTACTTGATGGGTGCAAAAGTAATAGTCCATACGGATCATGCGGCACTTTGCTATCTTATGAGAAAGAAAGATTCCAAAGCCTGGTTGATGAGATGGGTACTTTTGTTAGAAGAGTTTGATATAGACATCCAAGATCGAAAAGGGAGTAAAAACCAAGTGGCGGACCACTTGTCTCGTTTGGAGAAGGAGGGGAGGCCACATGATGGCCTTTAAATCAATGACTCCTTACCCGCTGAGCAACTCTTTGCTATTTCAACGAAAGAGGTGCCATGGTTCGCGGATCTAGCAAATTATCTTGTGAGCGATATCATTCCGGTTGATTTCTTTTCAAACTAAAGGAAGAAGCTCAAACGGGATTGTCAAGTCTATTATTGGGATGAACCGTACCTTTTCCGAATTTGTACGTATGGAGTGATTAGAAGATGTCTACCGGAGGAGGGACAAGTTGAAATTCGTGGGGCTTGTCATTCTTCGCCTTATAGTGGACACCATAGTGGAGCAAGAACGGCGGCCAAAGTGTTAAGTTGTGGTGTCTATTGGCCCACTCTTTATATGGATGCAAGTGATTTCATCAAGAGTTGTGATGAATGTCAAAGGGCCGGTGGAATCTCAAAGAAAAATGAAATTCCTCTCACCACCATTTTGGAAACTGATATTTTCGATGTGCGTTGTATTGACTTCATGGGTGCTTGTGTGAGTTCTTGTGGAAACACTTACATCTTAGTCACAGTTGATTATGTGTCCAGGTGGGTTGAGGTTGTTGCTTTGCCCAACAATGAAGCGATAAGTGTGGTGGCGTTTTTGGAGAAGAACATTTTTACAAGATTTGGTACTCCAAGGGCTATCATAAGTGATGGCGGATCGCATTTTTGAAACAAATCTATACCTTACTCACCAAGTATGGTGTCACTTATAAAGTCACGACCCCCTATCAATCTCAAGTAAACGGTTAAGTGGAAGTCTCCAACCGGGTGATAAAGAGTATTTTGTCCAAAACAGTGAATGCTAACCGGATGGATTGGTCCAAGAAACTTGATGATGCTTTATGGGCTTATAAGACGGCTTACGAAACAGCGATTGGAATGTCTCCATACCGGTTGGTTTTCAGAAAAGCTTGTCATCTTCCGGTGGAACTTGAGCACAAAGCTATGTGGGCTTTAAAGAAGTTGAATCTTGAGTGGGATGTCGCCGCCAACTTAAGGGTGGCCCAATTGAATGAGTTAGATGAGTTCCATTACCATGCATACACAAGTTTGTCCTCATACAAGGAGAAGATGAAGTACCTCCATGACAAGTACATTCAGAACAAGGAGTTTAAAGAAGGTGATCTTGTGTTGTTGTTCAATTCTCAATTACGGATATTTCCGGGAAAGTTGAAGTCTAAATGGAGTGGCCCGTTTGAGGTTGTGGGTGTGACACCCTTTGGTGCATTGGACTTGAAGAATAAAAATGATGAGGTGTTTGGAGTCAATGGTCACCGGGTGAAGCATTATCTGGGAAAAGTTGATGATGGCCACGTCATGGCGGTAATTCATTTCAAGTGATGGTAATCTGCGTTGTGCCGCGATGTTCAGGCGCTTCTTGGAAGGCAACCCGTGTTTCTTTTCCTTTTTCTTTTTCTTTTTCTTTTTCTTTTTCTTTTTCTTTTTCTTTTTCTTTCTTCTTCTTCTTTAGATAGGTCTTATTTTATGCTAACTGGTTTTGAAGTGTGTTGCTAGAATGAGTGTGCTTTACAAGGACTGTGCTAAAAAATTGGCTAAGTATGGAAAAAGGGTTGACCACACATTTATTGTGCGGACCGCCACAGAAGAAGAGATATGTTGCCGCACAATTGTTGTGCGGACCACAAAACTGGAAATAAAAAAATTGCACACTCTCTGAAGTTTGCCTGTTAGAAAAAGGGCCAAAGTACGGCCGCACAAGGAAATGTGCAATCCGTACCAACATTTGCGGTCGCATACGCAATTCTGCGGACCATAGATCATTGAAAGGAAAATGGCAACAGGTATCAAAATGCGGACTGCAAAAGGAATTCTGCGGCCGCACTCATCTCTTGAACTTTTGGCAATCCCGTTAAGTATAAACACTAGGTCTCTTTCTCCTGTTAAAACTTTACGAACTTTGAGAAATTAAAACAAAGGCAAAAATAGTGCACTCAACTGATTCACTCATCTGACACTTAGTTCATCATCTTTAATCATTCAATAACACCTTTATCACTGGTATGTTCAATTCATGTTCACAAATTTTCAATTTTCTTAATTTGGTTTATAGTTTGTTAAGTTATTGTTAGACCATTTGTAAAATTCATAACCATGTGGGCTATAATTTGTGTTGGGTAACTTCCTATTTGCTATATGGGGGATGGGTATTTGTTTTGTCATGTTTAATTGCTACTACCATGTCAATTTGAGTGCAAAAAATTGAAACCCTAAGTTTTCTGCCAATAACTTCTGAATTGTGTGGTCTGCTGAAATTTAACCGCGGCCGCACAAAAGTGTGTGAGGCCGCAAATCAAGCAATTCTCTGTCTTCAGAGAGTTGTCATTTTTGAGATCCTAATGTGCGGCCGCACCAAAAATTGTGCGGTCGCACTCAAAATTGTGTGAACCGCAAAATCATCACTACGGCCGACTTTCAAGTTGTGCGGTCCACACAACCCCATCTACGGCCGCACTCAAAAATGTGCGGACCGCACTTCCCTTCCCTCATACTGTTTTCTGCAACTATCTGCTATTGTGCACTTGAAATATAACTGACTCCTGGTATTGTTTATTGCAGAAAATGGTTAGATCTCAGGGACGTGGTGATACATCAAAGGGTAGGGGTAAACACTCCCGAGGATGAGGTAGGGGTACCCTACCACTCTCCGTGCAAAGAGTTATAGCAAAAAAAGCAACAGCCGGGAGAGCTCCAGAACCTGCTGAGTCTAGTTCTTGAAGGTGTTTTGATTGGCTTATTTTAAGTTCTTATTGGCTTTTAAGCACTTTTTTAGTTTGTGTGGTGGTTGACAATGATAAAAAGTGCTTAAAAGCACTTACTTTTAGGCATAAAAAAAACAAAAATAAGCCAAAAGCCAAAAGTTGGGTATTACCAACTTATGGCTTTTGGCTTTTAGCTTAAAAGCTACTTTTTATAAGCCAATCCAAACATCCTCCTTTTGTCCCGTCTAGGGAAGCATCAGAGGGCGACTCTGTGCAAGAGCAGCCTGATGTTCAATCACAACTAAGGCAGCTTCAGGGGAGATTTCAGCTCCGGGATGAGCCTTCCACCTCAGCAAGCACTTCCGAGGGTTCAAAACATGATACATAGGGTTCAGAACCCTCATCTACACATGCCCCCGATGCACCATCTACTTTAGTTGATGATGATGATATTCCAGATGATGGTCGAGGGGGTGATACTAGAATTGCCGGCCTTGAGAGGTCGAAGAAGAAAGAAGTTTAGGAAGATAGGTTTGTGAGCCTGACTGCATTCAACAGGTTTCGAGAGTAGTGGCCTCAGAGATCGCTCACACTTGAGCATCAATTTGTATTGAATGACTTGGATAGGTACAACCCAAATGTGTCAAGACAAATCCGGGAGAGAAAAGGGTGGACATCGTTCACTCAGAGTGTGGTGGATGACAAGGAGCACTTGGTCCGGAAATTCTATGCCAATGTGGCGCATAACAAGAAGGGGACCGAGGTGACTAAATTAAGGAACGTAAAAGTGAGAATTGATCAGAGCACCCTGAACACATATTTAGGGCTTTAGGATGTGGAGCCGGTGCAATATTTGGAGAAGTTCGCACTGGGTGATGCAGCTCGCCCTTGGCTAGCAGACATTTTGGCAGCTCCACGCCAAAACCACCATGGATCACAGCAGGGGTTCCTATCCAACGGAACACCCTTAACTTTGAAGCAAAATGATGGCTGACCTTTGCGTGCAGTAGACTAGATCCATGCCAAAATGAAAACATTCTCCAAATCCCGAGGGCAGTTCTAGTGGATTCCATAATGGCCGGGTAACCAATCAATGTGGGTGCCATCATGTCGGCCAACATGTCTCTGGTTGGTAGGCAGGGTGATAGCTCCTACCCGTATCCCAACACTATCACGGAGTATGCATTGTCTATTATGTATAAAAAGTAATTAGCTCTAAAAACTCTTCGAGAGATTTTGAGAATTCATTGTCAACATTCTCATCAAATTGTTTCTTCATATGTATCTGTCACGATCCGGATTTTCCACCATCGGGATTGTGATGGCGCCTACTCGTGGTAGCTAGGCAAGCCAACTTATTTACCTTTTCATCACTAAATAATTATTTTAACAATTTATAGCATCAATATAGAACATGAAATTTACTAAGAATAATAGCGGAAGTCTGATTTATAAATCTGAATCAAAACGCGGAACAGTTAATAATAGCCTCTACCCAAGATTTGGTGTCACATCACTCACGAACCACTAAGAATATACTAAATACAAAGGTCTGAAAGAAACATAGAAGCTGTCTGTCTCGAGACAAGGAGGCAACAGTCTAAAAGAGAACATAAAGAAGAGACGCCGGGCCTGCGGACGCCTGCAAGGCTACCTCGGTCTCGTGATAATGAAAGCCTGCTCCCGTACTAATGCTGCAGCTGCTCCTCAGAACCTGGACCTGTGCAAAAATGCACAGAAGCATAGAATCAGCACAACCGACCCCATGTGCTGGTAAGTGTCTAGCCTAACCCCGGCGAAGTAGTGACGAGGCTAGACAGGACACCACATAAACCTGTGCAGTTATAAATATACAACGGAAACAAAATACCAAACAACTAGCAATATGGGAGGGGAAACATGCTGTGGGGAGATAACAATAGTAACAGTAATTCCGAGTAACAAACTAAAGCAGCTTAGATTCACAATGAACAAGGAAAACAATACTCAATATAAACACATGGTATCAATAACTGTTGTGGCGTGCAACCCGGTCCACAATTTACCATTGTTGCGGCGTGCAACCCGATCCACAAATACCACTGTTGCGGCGTGCCACCCGATCAACAAATACCACTGTTGCGGTGTGCAACCCGATCCACAAATACCACTGTTGCGGCATGCAACTCGACCCACGTCATTTATCATGTATCATTGTTAGGGCGCGCAACCCGATCCTCACATATTATTGTTGCGGCGTGCAACCCGATCCTCAATATCTTTATTGTGGCGCGCAACCCGATCCACATCATCTAACAGTCTGACTCCCCAAAATACAGTCACGATTAAGAGGCATCAAAAAAATAAGCAAATATTTGACAAAAATCCCGGCAAGGGAAAGAAACCAACAAGTTCAACCAAACGTCCCGGCAAGGGAATAATCAACAACGCTTGCTCTTTCTTACTTTTCTTATCTTATAATCCACTCTACCATCTTGAGCCAACGCTCCACAGATTCAAGTCATTTCATATACTTTCAATATTCGTATCCCAATTCGAGCCAATGCTCCTAGGATCAAATGATCATATCACCGTTCACAGGTTATTCACAACATATAGAAATCCTCCAATAAATACGGAGTTCACGACCAAGCCATGATAATCACATTATAAGGACTCATGGTCATGCTAGACACCAATGTATAGATACTCGTCACCATGCCTATACATCGTACTCGATCACATAGCAATTAGCAACAAGACTCAACTCCTATTCCCTCAAGCTAGGGTTAAACCAAACACTTACCTCAAAGCCTTGAAATCCACTTAATCCTCAACTATCACTTACCTCGCGATTCCACCTCCAATTCGCTCGAATCTAATCACAAATTGTTCAATTACTTTAATAAACACTATATGAATCAATTTGAATGCATAAAAATGATTTTCCCAAGTTTTTCCCAAAAATTCCAAAAATGCCCCCGGGCCCACGTGGTCAAAACCCAAGGTTCGAACCAAAATCTGGTTACCCATTCCCCCACGAGTTCAAATATATAATTTGTTTTGAAATCGGACCTCAAATCGAGGTCCAACTCCCCAATTTATGGAAAACCTAGGTTCTACCCAAAAATCCCAATTTCACCCATGAAAATCTTTGATTTCAAGTGAAAAACATGTTTAATGATGTTAAAGATTGAAATAATTGAGTAAAAATCAACTTACAAGTGATTTGGGATGAAGTTTGCTCTTAAAAATTCGCCTATGGTGTTTGGGTTTTGAAAGAATGGTGAAAAGTGGTGAAAATTCGACTAAGTATAAAATTTGCTGGGCCTCGGATATGGGAAATGCGAAGNGGTCAAAACCCAAGGTTCGAACCAAAACCTGGTTACCCGTTCCCCCACTAGTTCATATCTATGTTTTGTTTTGAAATCGGACCTCAAATGGAGGTCCAAATCCCCAATTTTAAGAAAACCTAAGTTCTACCCAAAATCCCCATTTTCACCCATGGAAATCCTTGATTTTAAGATGAAAACATGTCTAATGATGTTAAGGATTGAAGAAGTTAAGTAAAAATTGACTTACAAATGATTTGGAGAAGATAGGTTTCTTGGAAAATCGCCTATGGAGTTTGGGTTTTGAAAGAATGAAGAAAAGAGGGTTAAAATTCGTCTAAGTATGAAAAATTGCAGGTCTCAGATGTGGGAAATGCGAACATGGGTTCGCAATTGCGAACCCAGCAGGCTTGGGAATTGCGAAAATGGTCTGGGAATTGCGAACATGGGAATTGCGAAGAAAGTTTGGGAAATGCGAACAGGCTTGGGAATTGCGAAAATGGTTTGGGAATTGCGAACATGGGAATTGCGAAGAAAGTTTGGGAAATGCGAACAGGCTTGGGAATTGCGAAAAATGTTTGGGAAATGCGAACCTGGGAATTGCGAAGAAAGTTTGGGAAATGTGAACAATCCTGGTAATTGCGAAAAATGTTTGGGAAATGCGAAACCTGCAGACCTGCAATTCCTTAAGTCCAAAATTTCACCTCGTGGCCTATCCAAAACTCACCCGAGCCATCGGGGCTCCAAACCAAACATGTACACAACCTCAAAAACATCCTACGGACTTATCCGTGCGATCAAATCGCCAAAATAACATCAAAATCATTGAATCAACCCCAAATTCATCATTTTTCATCATAACTTCATAAACTTCAAACTTTAGATATTTGGGTCCGAAACACGTCAAATGACGTCCGATTTCGACCAAATTTTATAGAAAGCGCTTAACACATATTTAAGACTTGTACCGGGCGTCGGAACCATAATACGAGCCCGATACCACAGTCTTTTAATCAATTTTCATTTCCTTTTTCCATAATAATTTCAGAGAAATAATTTCACAGAAAAATTCTTTCCTCGGGCTCTAGACATCGGAATTCGACTCCGGGCACATGCCCGAGTCCCATATTTTTGTACGGACCTTCCGGGACCGTCCAATCTCGGGTCCGGGTTCGTTTACCCAAAATGTTGACCAAAGTCAACTTTAATCATATTAATATCAAAATTCATCATTTTTCACACATAATTCATATTTAAGCCTTCCGGCTACACGCCCGGACTGCGCACGCAAATCAAGGCAAGTAACAATAAGGTTTTCAAGACCTCGGAAGCACGGAGTGGATGAGGAAATAGGTGATGACCCTTTGGGTCGTCACATCCTCCACCTCTAAAACAACCGTTCGTCCTCGAACGGACAAAAGAAAGAAGTACCTGAGCGGGGAACAGATGTGGATAACGGCTCCGCATATCAGACTCGAACTCCCAGGTCGAGGCCTCAGGGGGCTGACCTCTCCACTGAACACGAACAGAGGGAAAACTCCTAGATCTCAACTGACGAACCTGCCGGTCTAGAATAGCTACCGGCTCCACCTCATAAGATAAATCCTTGTCCAATTGGACAGTGCTGAAGTCTAACACATGGGTAGGATCGCCGTGATACCTTCGAAGCATAGACACATGAAAAACTGGATGCACGGCTGATAAGCTAGGTGGCAATGCAAGTCTATAAGCCACCTCTCCTACTCGATCAAGAATCTCAAACAGGCCAATGTACCTAGGGAAAAGCTTGCCCTTCTTTCCGAACCTCATCACGCCCTTCATAGGCGACACCCGGAGCAATACCCGCTCACCAACCATAAAAGCTACATCTCAGACCTTACGGTCTGCATAACTCTTCTGCCTAGACTGAGCTGAACGAAGCCTCTCCTGAATGATCTTGACCTTATCTAAGGCCTCCTGAACTAAGTCTGTATCCAATAACCGAGCCTCTCCCTGCTCAAACCATCCGACTGGAGACCGACATCGCCTACCATACAATGCCTCATACGGGGCCATCTGAATGCTGGACTGGTAGCCGTTATTGTAGGCAAACTCTGCTAAGGGCAAAAACTGGTCCCGCGAGCCTCCAAAATCAATTACACAAGCTCGGAGCATATCCTCCAAAATCTGTATAGTCCGCTCGGACTGACTGTCCGTCTGAGGATGGAATGCTGTGCTCAACTGAACCTGGGTGCCCAACTCTTGCTGAACTGTTCTCCAGAAGCGCGAGGTAAACAGCGTACCCCGGTCCGAAATGATGGATACCGGCATACCATGAAGGCGGACAATCTCCTGGATATAAATCTCAACTAACCTCTCGGATGAATAGGAGACTGCCACTAGAATGAAATGCGCTGACTTGGTCAGCCTATCAACAATGACCCAAATAGCATCAAACTTCTTCCGAGTCAACGGAAGTCCAGTAACGAAATCCATGGTAATCCTCTCCCACTTCCACTCGGGGAGCTCAATCCTCTGAAACAACCCACCGGACCTCTGATGCTCATACTTGACCTGCTGACAGTTCAAACACCGAGCCACATACGCAACAATATCCTTCTTCATCCTACGCCACCAATAATGCTGCCGCAAGTCCTGATACATCTTTGCGGCGCCCGGGTGAATAGAATACCGAGAACTATGGGCCTCCGCTAAGATCAATTCTCGAATCCCATCAACATTGGGCACACAAACTCGCCCCTGCAATCTCAAAACACCATCATCATCTAAGGTCACCTTCGTGGCACCTCCACGTTGCACCGTGTCTCTCAGGACACACAAATGGGGATCATCAAACTGTCGGTCCGGATACGCTCCAATAGAGAAGAACGAGCGACCGTGCAAGCTAACACTCTGCTAGGCTCAGAAATATCTAATCTCACCAATCGATTGGCCAAAGCCTGAACATCTAAAGCAAGCGGTCTCTGGCTGACCGGGATATAAGCAAGACTACCCATGCTGGCGGACTTCCTACTCAACGCATCGGCCACCACATTGGCCTTACCCGGGTGATACAAGATAGTAACATCATAATATTTCAACAACTCCAACCACCTCCTCTACCTCAAATTCAAATCCTTTTGCTTAAATAAGTACTGAAGGCTCTTGTGATCCGTGTACACCTCACACGTCACCCCATATAGATAATGCCTCCAAATCTTCAAAGCATGAACAATAGCTGCCAACTCTAAATCATGAACCGGATAATTCTTCTCGTGGATGTTCAACTGTCTCGAAGCATAGGCAATGACTTTGCCATCCTGCATCAATACTGCACCAAGCCCAACACGGGAAGCATCACAATAGACTGTGTAAGGCCCTGAACACGTTGGCAAAACCAATACCGGTGCCGTAGTCAGAGCTGTCTTGAGCTTCTGAAAGCTCGCCTCACACTCATCTGACCATCTGAACTGGGCACCCTTCTGGGTCAACCTGGTCATCGGGGCTGCAATAGACGAAAATCCCTCCACGAACCGACGGTAATAACCTGCTAACCCCAAGAAACTCCGAATCTCGGTCGCTGAAGCTGGTCGAGGCCAATTCTTGACTGCCTCAATCTTCTTCGGGTCCACCTGAATACCCTCTGCTGATACAATATGACCCAGAAATGCAACCGAACTCAACCAGAACTCGCACTTCGAAAACTTAGCATATAACTGACTATCCTTCAGAGTCTGGAGAACCACTCTGAGGTGCTGCTCGTGCTCTTCCTGGCTGCGGGAGTACACCAGAATATCATCAATAAAGACTATCACGAATAAGTCTAGATATGGCCTGAACACTCGGTTCATCAACTCCATAAATGCTGCTGGGGCATTGGTCAACCCAAATGACATGACTAGAAACTCATAGTGCCCATACCGAGTGCGGAATGCAGTCTTAGGGACATCAGACGCCCTAATCCTCAGCTGATGGTAGCCAGATCTCAAGTCTGTCTTAGAAAACACCTTTGCTCCCTGAAGCTGGTCAAACAAATCATCAATCCTCGGCAGTGGGTACTTGTTCTTTATCATCACTTTGTTCAATTGCCGGTAATCAATACACATCCGCATCGAACCATCCTTCTTCTTCACGAATAACACCGGCGCACCCCAAGGAGAAACACTAGGCCTGATAAAACCTTCTCTAGTAAATCCTGCAACTGGTCCTTTAACTCCTTTAACTCCTTTAACTCTGGCGGGGCCATGCGATACGGCGGAATAGAAATGGGATGCGTGCCCGGAGCCAGATCAATACAGAAATCAATATCCCTGTCGAGCGGCATACCCGGCAGGTCTGAAGGGAAAACCTCGGGGAACTCTCGAACAACAGGAACAGAGTCAATAGAAGGAACCTCTGCGCTGGAGTCGCGAACATACGCCAGATAAGCTAAACACCCCTTCTCGACCATGCGTCGAGCCTTAACATATGAAATAACACTGCGGGTGGTATGACCTGGGGTCCCTCTCCACTCTAGTCGGGCAATTCTAGCAAAGCCAAGGCCACGGTCTTGGCGTGACAATCTAAGATAGCATGATACGGGGACAACCAGTCCATCCCCAATATGACGTCGAAATCCACCATATCTAAAAGCAATAAATCAACACGGGTCTCAAGACCCTCAAACACAACCACACAGGAACGATGCACCCGGTCGACTACTATGGAGTCACCCACCGGTGTAGATACATAAACAGAAAAATCCAAAGCATAACTAGACATAGCCAGGTAGGGTGCAAAATAAGACGACACATACAAATATGTCGACCCAGGGTCAAATAGCACTGACGCATCTCTATCACAAACCAGAATAGTACCTGTAATAACGGCATCTGACGACTCGGCCTCTGGTTTGGCTGGCAAAGCATAAATCGGGGCTCAGCCCCACCTCCTTGAACCATGTCTCTGGGACGATCGGCTACCGGCTGACCCCTACCTCTGGCGGTCCAACCTCCACCTCTACGATCTCGACCTCCACCTCTATGATCCCTACCCCCGCCCCTGGCTGGCTGGGCAGGCTGTGGGTCACCTGGTACCTGAATCATGGGGCGAGGACCCTGCTGTTGCGACTGTGTACCCCTCAATCTCGGGCAAGCTCTCCTGATGTGACCATACTCACCACACTCATAACATCCCTCCGTACGATGAGACTGGCCCTGACGACCCGAATGACCTCCACGAAAACTCTAAAGAGGTTGTGCACTGATGGGAGCTGGCGGTGCACTGAGTGACTGCTGATCGGAATAATGCCTACGAAAACCACGATCACCTGGGGCACCCTGCAAAACCTGGAGGGCTGACTGAAAGGGCCTGGAAGGCTGACCCCTATCATAAGAATCCCTGCCTCCAGATGAGGCACCACTGAATCGACCTGAGTGACGGGGTCTCTTGTCTGCCCTATGACCACCCCCCTGTGGCAGAACCATCTCGATCCTCCGGGCCACATTGGCCGCCTCCTGAAAAGTAATGTCACTACCCGCCTCTCTGGCCATCTGAAGACGAATAGGCTGGATCAAACCATCAATAAATCTCCTCACCCTCTCCCTCTCAGTGGGGAGTATGACGAGGGCATGGCGAGCTAGATCGATAAACCGGGTCTCATACTGAGTGACCATCATAGACCCCTGCTGGAGACGCTCAAACTGTCTCCGGTAAGCATCCCTCTGAGTAACGGGAAGAAACGTTTCTAGAAACAACTCCGAAAACTGATCCCAAGTCAAAGGTGGCGACCCTGCTGGTCTGGCTAAACAGTAATCCCTCCACCAAGTCTTGGCGGATCCAGATAGACAAAAAGCCGCAAAATCAACTCCATTGGACTCCACAATGCCCATGTTCCGAAGAACCTCGTGGCAGCTATATAAGAAATCCTGGGGGTCCTCAGAAGAAGCTCCGTTGAATGTAGCAGTGAAGAGCTTGGTGAACCTGTCCAGCCTCCACAAAGCATCCGCGGACATAGCCGCTCCATCACCGGCCTGTGCAACTACCCCCGGCTGAACTGCCGCAGCTGGCTGACCCGGTGGAATCTGAGTCTGGGGAGCTACCTGCTCCGGAGTACGTGCAGCAGGAGTCTGGTCTCCTCCTCCAGCCTGGGAAGTGGCTGGTGCTATAGGAAGCAATCCTGCTCGGGTGACACTCTCCATGAGGCCAACCAACCAGACCAAGGCGTCCTGAAGAACTGGGGTAGCAATAAACCCCTTTGGGACCTGACCTGGGCCCGCCGGAACTATCTGGGCTGGGGCCGGAACCTCCTCGCCAAGGTCAACCTGATGCTCCGCCACTGGTGTTGCTATTGGTGGCTGGGCTCTGCCCCTACCTCGGCCCCTAGCATGGCCACGTCCCCTACCCCTAGCGGGAGCTGCCTGGGGCTCGGACTGCTGATCGGTGGATGAGGAAGCGCGTGTTCTCGCCATCTGCGAAAGAACAGAGTAGAAATTCAATCAGCATTGAGAAACCAAATCGCACGACAAGAAAGAACAAATGAGAGATTTTTCCTAACTCAGTAGCCCCTGGGGAGCGAGTACTGACGTCTCCGTACCGACCCCTCAGACTCTACTAAGTTTGTCCGTGAGTTGTGAGACCTATGTAACCTAGTGCTCTGATACCAACTTGTCACGACCCGGATTTCCCACCATCAGAGCCGTGATGGCGCCTACTCGTGGTATCTAGGCAAGCCAACTTATTTACCTTTTCATCAATACACAATTATCTTAACAGTTTGTAGCATCAATATAGAACATGAAATATACTAAGAACAGTAGCGGAAGTCTGTCTTATAAATATGAAACAAAATGCGGAATAGTCAATAATAACCTCTACCCAAGATTTGGTGTCACATTACTCACGAACTACTAAGAATATACTAAATACAAAGGTATGAAAGAAATATATAAGCTGTCTGTCTCGAAAACAATGAGGCAACAGTCAAAACAGAGAACATAAAGAAGAGACGCCAGGCCTGCGGACGCCTGCAAGGCTACCTCAGTCTCGTGTAAATGAAATCCTGCTCCCGTACTACTACTGCTGCTGCTCCTTAAAACCTGGACCTGTGCAAAAATGCACAGAAGTGTAGCATCAGCACAATCGACCCCATATGCCGGTAAGTGTCTAGCCCAACCCCGGCGAAGTAGTGACGAGGCTAGACTGGACACCACATAAACCTGTGCAGTTATAAATATATAGCGAAAATCGAATACAAAGCAATTAACAATATGGGAGGGGGACCCATGCTATGGGGAGATACAATATTAACAGTAACCCAGGGTAATAAACTAAAGCAACTTAGATCCACCATAAACAAGGAATCAATACTCAATATAAACACAGGGCATCAAATAACTGTTGCGGCGTGCAACCCGCTCCATAATTACCATTGTTGCGGCGTGCAACCCGCTCCACAAATACCACTGTTGCGGCGTGCAATCCGACCCATATCATTTATCATGTATCATTGTTGCGGCGCGCAACCCGACCCTCATATATTATTGTTGCGGCGTGCAACCCGACCCTCACATATTATTGTTGCGGCGTGCAACCCGACCCTCACATATTATTTTTGCGGCGTGCAACCCGATCCTCAATATCATTGTTGTGGTGTGCAACCCGACCCTCACATATTATTGTTGCAGCGTGTAACCCGATCCTCAATATCATATTTCCTCATCCAAACCACAGTCACAAATACGGGGCAAGAGAGTAAATAAACAATAATGAAAATCCGGCAAGGGAATACACATGACAAACAACTTAATAATCTCAGTATCCCGGCAAGGGAGAGAAAAAAACCAGCAACAGAATCAACAAAACGACCGGCAAGGGAATAACCAGTAACTCTTTCCCTTTCTTTCTTTTCTTACTCCACGATATCACTGGAGCCCAAGCTCCAAGAAATTCTTATCTCATATTCCGTCACAAACAACAATATAACGACATCCCAGTGAGGGAACAAAACATCATCTCAAATATCCCGGCAAGGGAATTACTATGCCCACATTAGTTCCAACATCTAACCACCACATTAGTTCCAACATCTAACCACCACAGCTATAACCAACCTATTACCACACTTGACCACCTCAGCTATATTTAACCGACTACCACACCCAACCACCCCATTTATAACTATAGTCATCATACGACACAAGGAAACATTAACCTAAGCGACCCTAGTATCCGTTAAGAACACAATGCAGAGGAATCACTGTGAGGCCCCGTAAAATTTTTGGCTCATAAACCAGAATCTTGTGGTGTCGGCTCCGAACACGTGTTAGGAATTCGAAGCCTTGGTATTGATCTAAGCTTGTAAAAATCAAAAGAGATCAATTTTTCCAGAAAATGCTATTATGCGGTCAAGAATGCGGTCGCAGATCCGGTATGCGGACTGCATTCCTACCGCATAGTGAAGCAGTGGTTTGGTTAAAACTTGAGGTCAAGATGCGGTCCAAAATGCGACCGCATAATTGATATGCGGATCGCATTTCTACCGCAGAGTGGAACAGTAGAGTTGTCAAAATTAATGTTGAAAATGCGGTCTATTATGCGATCGCATAACAAATATGCGGACCGCATAGTCGTCGTATACTCTCCTTTGAATTTTGTGAATGTCAGTTCTGCGGTGCACTACGCGACCGCAGAACATGAATGCGGACCGCATTCCTGTCGCAGACCCAAACAGAATCCTCAGAGTTTTGGGGGCAATTCTGCGGTCCAATCTGCGGACCGCATTTCAACTCTGCGATCGCAGAATGCGACCGCAGATCTTGCTCGGTTTCTATTTTTTTAAATTTTAAAACCCGACCCCTTTTGTAATAAAACACCCAACCCCTCATTCTTTAACGATCTTCTACACAAAATAAGAGAGAGGAAGAGAGGGTCTTGAGAGAGAAAGTCATCTCCTCCAAAATTTGATTCTTCAAAGCTATCCGGGCCGGGAAATCTCAAACTTATCTTCATCCCCTTTCTCTTGCAGGAAGAGAGGGGAATGTTATGGTACATAATGGAGCAGAATCGTCACTCGTAGCGGAAGTCAAGGAAAAGTAGTTTATCGATCCAGCATTGGCTCAAATGAAGG